ATGTATATGATTAGTTCCAATTTGAAAGTTAGGATAATTTTAGACCCGATAAGACAACCTGATGTCAACATTTTAAATACAATCAATGTATCCTGGTGACATGAACGAAGACCTTCATAAAAAAAGAGTTAAAATACTATGATATAATATAAAAGTATGACAATTTATATTCTGTCTACTTTTTAAATTCAACAAATGTTTAAATGTATCGATATTAGAAAAAAAACCATTGAGCCAATTCTAACGTAATGTACACTTACAAATACACTGTGTATGAAGATTTAGGTTCAGTTCAAACTGATCTTAAGATCTTGTGATACGATTCCTACAAATTTTACTACCATATCTAACCTTGGATACAGTAATACCTTAAATTAAACATACGACCAGCATACATGCGGCTCCATAAAGTATTTTCTGGTTTTCAAAAGAAAATGCAATGAATTCACCATTTCTAGTACTATCTGGTGAATTGGGGCAGGGGAGGGGGGAGAATTGTCAGTAGTAGGAAATAAAGAAATTCTATCAATATATGGTACATTGATTAATTTTTCAAGATAATTAGTAATTTATTGTTTGGTCGACATCCTCAGTCTCCAGTGGAAACAAGGTTTATTTCTGATGAATTCATCATGATGGGTCAATTGATCTAACTATATCCTCACCTATCTTCACACACTGATACCTTAGTATAAACCGATAGTGGAGGCAGGCTCATAGTTTCATTTTCATCCATAAAAAAAATGCTTAGTAAGTAATACAATAAAAAAAAAATACAATAAATTTTATTATTATTATAATGACGCGCTTTTATGCTGTAGACGAAATTACTCTCACAATACACGTCTCCCTAACCTAACATTATAATATCGATTCCGCCAACACCAAATCATTGTACGTATTCATGCGATGAAAAAAAAATCCGTTCGCAGCGCGGCTTAATGGCAGTATGTCATAGAATTTTGTACGAAATAATCAAGAGATATTCGTTCGGAATTATAACGTAGGGCCGAAATTAGGGGTTGTAGCGATTTATAAAAGATGTCGTCACCGTTTTACAATTGAATTTTACGATGACAAACAGGATGGGGTACAGATGTAGGTTATTTTTTATTTAACTTAAAATGGCAAGCGAGCTGATGGCCTATTTGATGGTAAATAGTAATCATCACCTATACATATGAAGTACCATGAACATTACAGAATAGAAGCGTAATACCCATAGTATCCCCTTATGTGTTACCATTTCTAACGCCTATAGTATTATGCCTCTATACCCTTTAATTTTACTACTAGATCCCACCCTATAAACCAAAATGGCTATACAAGCATAATTGCTTCACAACAGAAACACGAGTGCAACAGAGGTACCCAAACAGAGCTTTTGTACAAAATCTCCCTATAATAAATATTTAGTGTTGCCACTCTAAACAACTAGCTAATTAACACTTCTCATCTAAAATTACACAAAGTCGAATATATTGCCCGTGACCATCTACGAAACCAAAACCAGCAGGTTTACTCTTGAGTACTTAATATCGATATCGATCCAATCTATTTATTGTCAATGACAATTTTGTATCGCACTCATGAAACAACAATTAGAAATTAGGTTAGAATAGGGATCAGTTTGCAATAGTTTCAAGTTACACTAATATTCATCTATCAAAACAATTTGTAACTATTATGCCAATAGTACTGGAATTCAAGAGCGCGAAATGTCTCGATTCCAATATCGATCTATTGGAATTTATTTCAAGAGTAACCCCAATGGTCTTATCATTAGGTTCTGGTTACGTTACCAGAGAGAGACTTTGTATAAAAGTCGTTTACTTGGATATGTCTGTCCCATTCGTGTTTCTACCGTGAAGCAGTTATGTTTGCATGACTGTGTTTCGATTTTAAGGGTGGGATATGGCAGTGAATTTACAAGGTACAGTATTTACAATAACACCTGAGTCCTCAGGAATGGCAACGCATGAAGAATATCATGAGCGAAACGGTACAATCTGTTATGTCCATGGTACTGCTCATGTCTATAAGCGACGGTTACCACTTTCCATCAGGTGAGCCGTTAGCTTGTTTGCCATTCTAAGCTGCATAAAAAACGTAAACGGATTAGAAAGAGAGGTTCTCTAGTGGGAAACAACTTCCACTAAACAAAACAGATAATACAGGGCTGAATGTTATGCTACAATGTAATAACCCTAAACTATTTATATTCGCCAGTAAACATAGATTAACTGACCACATATTAATAAACTTAACAATTTCAATTTAGATTTAATTTAGGCACGTATTTAGGACTATGTAATCCAGATAAGACGAAATTCGAGACACCTATATACAATTACGTAACGAAGCTTTGTCGCCCTGGTACTATAAACAAACACGCCCATTCCCTAAAGGGGTGACAGAGGTGTAGATACAAATTGCCACAGCAGTATGGTGAATGGTGATAGTCACGCGTCACGCACACTTCACAAATGCACATTTTATATTTGTCTCCGAGGTAACGTCACAGGATAGAACCACATGGAATCGTTCCTGTTTCCATAGAGACCACATCTTCAAAAGCACATATGAACTCTCCGACCTATCCTTGTATATAACTGATAGCTCCGCTTCTTATTCTGTGCAATTAGGGGTGGGCATGACCCACCTGCCATGTTGTTCGATTATAGAGTAGACTACCTCTTCTCTTCCCGTGGGTCATTAGAGGGACAAAACCTCCCCTTATGTAAAAAACCTATCCTTAATACACCTTAGAATAGAATATGGACGACGGCTTTATGTGCCCTCTGAAGTAAAAAACAAGTGACAATCATTTTAATTACGCAAACATGAACTCGCAAAACCAAAAGTTTATTTATCATGTGATTCAATCTGGATCCAAGCCCTGAACTGAGCTATCGTCACCCTTTTGCTGTGTTACTTACACAGCAAAAGAGCAATGACATACGATATGTTGGGGGGAAGGGATTGTTAGTAATGGAGACTGAGAATCCCATTGCTAGCAATATACCCAACCAGGTGGACCTCCTCGCGGTTCCCCCTGGAAACTATCATGGTTAATTCCTGATGAATTCATCATGATGGGCTAACTGGCCTGTTTTCATTCTCATCGATCACCCTTCACTGGTGCTCCGCCAGCGTATCCCGTTAGCGCAGACGGGGTTACCATACCATTTTCACCCATCAAAAAAAAAACATACAATATTGGATTTTGAATCTAAATAGCAAAAGGTAACCAATTTAAAATCTGATAATAGAGACTTAACTCCTTTTGTAAGAATATCCTTGTGTCAATACATGGAGTAAATTACGACTGCACAATATACTCAGAGATACGAGTATAGTACATGTTTACAGATACCACTATTTATAATGCAAAACCTTGTTGCTATTTCCAGTGATAAAAAATTACGTAGGGAGGCGGCGGTAAGGTTCACCTACTGTTATGTTGAATTCGAAATGTGCTCGGCGAAACGCAGAAATGAAAAAATAAATTGGTATTTACTATTTTTATAGCTTATGAAGAATATTTATATAGTTTTATTTTATTATTTACTTAATTTTCTTGCACTGTATAACTATGTTAAAGTGAATGCTGTGAATACCTATAATAGGCATGTGCATTAATATTGTATTATATTTAATGTTTGTTATACCTATATGTTGTAATGCAATATGCTGTGATGATTCTTCTGAGGCTATGTTGGAAGCAACGGAAACGTTGATCTAAAGCCTCTAACTAACCTATCTGAGGATGCAGTTGCAAGCATTTTTTTATACCACTGAGGTGGCAAACAAGCATACGGTCCACTTGATGATAAGCAGTTACTGCAGCCTATGAATGCCTGTAATACCAGAAGCATTACACGTGCTTTGCCGATTCTAAAGAAACCTCTTTAGCTCTTTTTTGAAGAACCCCATGCTCTCTCAGAGTCTCTTGGAAAAACCTTATTTCAAAATATTTTTTAATAATTATTGACCTAATTCTGTTTTTGATGTTATTATCTAATTTTAAACGCGAACCTCTACAAATATAAGTAATTCCCTATTTCACGCTAAAAGTTAATTCTTTATTGAATCAACTCAGAAATGAACTAAGGGAGCCCTTTCATTTTACAAGTAGCTGTAAAAGCTTACTACTGACATTTTCTCTAAGCGAAATTCTTTTCATAAACAGTCAGAAGCTTAAACGACTACAAAATTTTACATTATTAAATTCCTTTTGATTTTAATATTATATGTTCATACCAATTTTAATATACATGCTAATTATGCATTAAATATATATAAATAAGAATATCTACGTTACTATCTCATCAGAGACAATTCTTGCTTCATAAGTTTTGCCAAAATTGTAATTATAAAAAACAAAACAATAACTTATAAATCAATGATTATTTACTCATAACAACGTCTTACAAGATAACTGACCACAACAAATCAACAACATACAACCACCTTTCAGAACTTAACAAATTACGTAACACGGACAAGAATGACAAAATTGAAAATTGTAAAAAAATTACCCTGCCCATACATACCCCACACCCAGAAATTAGACCATAACAAATGTTTACCCATTCCACTTCCAACCCTTTAATTTTTTTACTTACATTTTATAGGCCATAAAAGGAAAAATAAAAATTGTAATTGTAAAAAAATTACTCTCCTAAAACACCGTCCACATCTCACACCCAGAAAATTGAATACAGACCAAAACAAATCAACCTGCAAACATTGCGCGTGCCACTTTCAACCCTTCAGAGTTTTTCCAATTACGTAAAATTGTAATTACAAAAATAAAATATTGTAATTGTAAAAAAAAAAAATTATTGTCTACACGGCACATCCAGAAAATTTTCAACAACAAATCAACGTACTAACATCGCACGTTCCACTTCCAACACTTCAGGGTTTTTCCAATTACGTAACATACGCATAAATTACAAAAATAAAAATGTGTAATTGTAAAAAAAATTACTCACCTATAAGCCCGTCTACATTGCACACCCAGAAAAGTGACCACAACAAACCAACGTGCGAACATCTCGCGATCCAGCCCTTCAGCATTTTTCCAAAATCACATCCCCCGACGACAGCATTTTCCACTGATAACTTTATAAATGGAAAACTAACCACATACTCGTTACTAATCACAAGATCATCCCATTATCAACGTTTTATCGGGTCACTGGCCATTTTTATTGGATTAAAGGTTGAATGACAGCGAACGTAAATACGCGATCGAGTGTCTACGTGCAGGAGACACGGACCATGCCTACGAAAGCTCGCGATATACTGAACTCGAATACTCGGTCGACTACGACTGTTGTGAATTGAATCGTGGGGTCGTAACCGCACCTCACAGTTGTAGCGCTTTGGGAAAACCCTTCGGACGAATTGATCGGATTTTCAGTATGTAACGTGCCAATAATATTGTAATTAATGATACAAACCTCACCTTAGGTAAATTATGGCCGCAAAGAGTGTAGTTATAACCTGTTTTTATAGAACATAATAATGACGTAAACAAAGAATTACTTGACCCAACCATAAGAGAGTCTGCTGTCTAACATTACAATTAAAAAATCGATTAATATATTGAATATTTCGACTTGATGATGATACAGTTGTTAGGGGAGAAAGGGATTGTTAACAATGAAGTTTGACAGCCCCATTGCTAGCAATATACCCTATTGGGTCGTCCTCCACGTGGTTCCCCCTGAAAACCATCGTGAACAATTCTTGTTGAATTCCTCACGATGGGCTATCTGACCTGCTTCATCTTCACCTATCATCCTTCACTGGTGCCCCACCGGTATATACCGATAACGTGGTTCCCCCTGGAAACCATGGTGGTTAATTCTAGTGGAATTCGTCACAATGGGCTAATTGACCTGCTATCATCGTCACCTATCATCGCTCACTGGTGCCCCGCCAACGTATCCCGAAAGTGCATGCGGGGTTACCACTCCATTATCACCCACAAAAAAAAGATACAGTTGTTAACTGTCCACTGCGAACATAGGCCTCCTCCTTGAGGAGTTTTGTCAGTAATTGCCACGCTTGGCAAGTGGGTTATCAACCGTAATTAGGCTTTGATGATGTTATAAAAGGTACGCTGCTACCCATTCATTGACCATTTTTCCTATTAGACGCCTCTTACGACATCCACGGTAAAGGAAGGGGTGACCTATTGCTTTCTACAAAAATCTGTGCCTCTAGTGAGAAAGGGTTCAATTCAAAATGGTCACTTTTCAGGAGAGCCAAAAAACTATTTTAAATAAAGAAAAAAAATTCTGCTGCTTTTATTATTTGCTAATTGAACAAGTCAATGATTGCATTTATAGTAATTTTTTCTCCTCTTTCTTATGAAATTGTCGGATTTTGTGTAAAACCTATAGTTTTAAAAATAATTCTATTATACCTAATCACACTTAACAAAAATATTAAAATTATGATGTGAAAATAGTTTTAAGTTGAATTAAAACTTTGAAGTATTGAAGAAAAACAATGTTGTGTATTTTACGCTATAAAAAATAATCGCTATTAAATGGTGTAAAAGGGTTCAAATCGAACTGATTCATTTTACAAAAATAATTTTTATAAAATATTGTAGTTTTATTTCTAATTATGACTTTTTTACCACAAATATTTTGTTAATTGTAGCCTTTTACATGTTTACTATCTCTATTGTTTTTAAAGATATCGTTACGATTCTTATACCATTCGAAAGAGAAAAAATTGCTTATTTAAAGTAGCCTAAAAAAGAAAAAGGCTACAACTTGAGTTATACCCTTTCTCACTAGAGGCACAGAAATAATTCAATTTTTTTTATTTATTTATAAACTGTAATTATTTTAGATTTTCCTCTTTAAAATCTTCGGTATTTTTTTTTCACCATATAAATCTTAGATAATTACAAAATAAAAGAATGCATGAAACCTCCTTTATTTACACGTTCGCGTTATTATTTTTATCTATGTGCGTGTTGTTATCCAGAATGTGGTACGTATTTATTATGGAAATGAACTGAATCGAAAATAAGGGGCCGATGTTGACATGACAATATAATTACGGTTTTTTAAAAATATAATGTACTTCTTAAATTTACTTGTAGACTTTTTAACGAATTTTTTTTTCTTGCCAAATGGCAGAAAATTCAAATTCGAATCATCTTTATTCAAATAGTTAACAAACACTTTTAAATCGTCATTTTTTTTATGAATGCAATTTAGACGACATAAAATAAAGTTTTCAAAGTAATTTAAATATGTATTTAAAGTAGAATTATATATTTGAAATAATAATGTAATATTAAAATAATAATATTATGAATAATTATATATATGAAAGTGAATTTGTTTGTTTGTTACCTGTTAGCGTACTATATAAAATTTGATATATACGCACTATATAGGTACTATTTGTTGTTTCGGTCAGTGAACATATCCCAAAAATGCGGACTTACTTAGTATGAACCAAAAATGATACGTTACAACTCAGTCAACCATACCTATACTACCACCAAATAATCGACATGTATTCTACGATAAATAAAACATAAATATTGGGTATTTTTTTTTTATATTCCATTTATTATTAAATCACTTTTGAAATAAACAATAGAAAATGTAAGATACACGAAAATTTACTACTTTCAATTGAATTTAATGAATATGTAAACAAACGATAATTGACCGACCATATAAAAATGCTGATGTCCAATAGAAATAAATACTTGGTATTTTGAAAAACTAAAGCGAATAGGCGTTATTTAAGTTTGCGTGTTACACTCTAAACTCATCGTCACTTAAAATGAGGTGAGATCGTAGCCAAATGCTATCAGATTTAATATAAAATGAAACAATACTGATTGAATTGGATTGAATGTTATACAATTTGGTACAAATTATATTTACCTACACCTAGAGAATGTTTCTGTAATATTTTAAAAAAAAAATGATAACTTTTTATTGTTATGTTGGACATAGACTGTATAAACCTTAGGTTATAAAATAGATTGAATATAAATAAGAGAAAATATAATAACCTATGTGCTGGAAGCTCTTTTAGTGGAACTACGAAGAAAATAATTTCTAATTATTTTTGCGTTTTAAAGTGGAATTAGTTTTAATGTGGTTTATTAGAATTAAGTGTACTGTAAATGATAAAACATAAAACAGGAAAGTCAACCACAAAATTGAACAACTTTCATGCAATTAGGCTGTAAATACCTTTAAACGTAAAATTCTAAAATAATCAGAAATATTTTTTACAGAAATTGGTAAAAAAAATATCTATTTTATTTCCATTTCCTCGAATTGAAATTTCAAATTATAACAAATACGTGAAAAAATTTGCTATTTTTGCAACTTCAATTTCATACAAATTCAAATCTGTCACATGTACGTTTACAAAACACGCACACTAATATAATCATTTTTATCTCGTTTTTGTTATTACTTTGCCAGTCTGTCAGTTCATATTACTATGTTTATAACATAAACATATATCGACACGTTTTTATGTCCATTGACATCTATATTCTGTGTTCCATATTCATGTGTTAAATATTTCCTACCTGCTCACAAAGGGACGCCGCGAAGAACTTCATAAATCGGTGTCATCACACCCGTCACATTAGTATGTGTAAAGGGCTCTTAAGGAAGCGCACACACGCAACTCAGGCTGAAAATTAATAGATTTTCAACTACTTCAAAAAGAAGAAGGTTCGGTTTCGGTTGTATTTTTTTTTTTTATGTTTATTACCTCATAACTACGTCAGTTCTAAACCGATTTGGAAAATACCTTATTTACCTGAAAGGATATACTTACAGATTAGTACCATAGAAATTTTATCAAAATCGATTTAGTAGTTTAATTTTTAGACCAAAATAGATAGATAGATACTCTTTATTGTTTCCTCCAAAAGATTACAACAGTAAACCTATTATAAATATAAACAATAACAAGAAATAATCACAATGAGAAAACAATGGGCGACCTTATCGCTAAAAGCGATCTCTTCCAGGCAACCTTTGGATGAAAAGGAATAATTATAAACTGTTTAATTGGAGGCACGATGAAGATCCTATTATTAGTAAATATGGAGATTTAATACATGTAATAATTGATTTTATCACAAATAAAGTCGGACACAATCTTCAATAAGCTTTAATAATAAACAAAACTATAACTTTTTGCCGGCTACTTCGTACGCGTGGATTTCAAAAGTAATGAAAATATGTTCCATTTCTAGTTGACGTATCACAATAAAACTTACATCAGACAAAAGAAAAACACTAACTTTAATAGTGAAAAATAATATTTATTATCCTAATAGGATTTAGAGTCTAAATCTTTAATTATTGTCTAAAATTTAGACTTAAATATTTGTTTAAAATTTAGATTACTACAAAACTAAATGGAAACAATAAAGAGTATCTATCTATCTATCTATTTTGGTCTAAATACTAAATTACTGAACCGATTTTGATAAAATTTCTATGAGAACCATCTGTAAGTATATCCTTCTAAATAAAAAAATATCTAAATCGGTTTAGAACTGACAGAGTTATGAAATAACTAACATAAAAAAAATACAGTCGAATTGAGAAGCTCTTTCTTTTTTAAGTTTGTTGAAAAGAATTAGTTCTATCGTTTTTTTTTTTTTTATTGAATAGGACTAGTGTCTTACCAGCTTTAATGACAGCAAAAGGGCTGCTTGGACAGTTTGATCACGTGTCGCGATGTCCTGAGGGCGCCCGAATCGGGTCGCCCAATCAGTTAATGGTATGCGTGAATAGCGTAGGACTTAATCCAAATGTGCAACGTTTGTTTTCCTTCGGTGAAAGTATTAAAACTACTGACTTGTCCAAATTCGAATGTACGAGGTGAAATCGAAAACATTCGACTCATTTTATGGTAGTTATGTTCTACCTATGAAACTGTATATTTTTCCTAAGGAGATATAGTTCACGAAATGGGCATTTTGAGTCTCTCATACCACAAATAATATAATACTATACTAGCCCATACTTTTTTTTTTTTTTTATTGAATGAGTGGTAACCCCGCCTGCGCTAATGGGATACGCTGGAAGCACCAGTGAAGGGTGATCGATGAGGATGAAAACAGGCCAGTTAGCCCATCATGATGAATCATCATCTGGAATTAATCATGATAGTTTCCAGGGGGAACCGCGAGGAGATCGACCTGGTTGGATATATTGCTAACAATGGGATTCTTAGTCTCCATTACTAACAATCCCTTTCCCCCCTACTAGCCCATACTAACAACCTACCCAGCTCTCAAGTTTTTGTGGAAAGCTCAGATCTGTACTATTTCGACCCTTTTTTATTTGGGAGCAATGTTCGGTTTTATTTTTAGAAACATACTGATTATTTATATTTCGTCACATATGTAATTAAATAATATAAAATAAAAAAAAAAGTTTAATAGTGAAAAAATTTAATTACGAGCTCAAACCTACTGAACCAAATAACAGCCAGCTGTCCTTGCATATGTTACGATTTTAAATGTAGGTCATCATCATCACCATCACCATAGCCGTTATCTGGCCACTGCTGAAGATAGGCCTCCCCAATAGATTAAAGCAGTCCTGAGCCACCTGCATACACGGAGTGCCTGCAATGCAATGTAATCCCTCCCTGAAAATTACAATATTTTGAGGGAGAAAGGAATTGTTAGCAATGGAACTTGACAGCCCCATTGCTAGCAATATACCCTATTGGGTCGACCTCCACGTGGTTCTCCCTGGAAACCATCGTGAACAATTCTTGTTGAATTCATCACGATGGGCTAACTGACTTGCTTCATCCTCACCTATCATCCTTCACTGATGCCCCGACGGTGTTACCATTCCATTATCACCCATAAAAAAAGTACAATATGTTAGTAAAATTACAGGGTAAGCCAAACTAACACCTTAATCCTCAAGAATATTCTTTATTACCCCTCAAGAACAAGAATGCCCGAATGTGTTGATATCGATGCATAAACGTCACAGCATTCAATGGTACCCATAGGACTAATCATCAGATGGACCATCAGTTTCTTTGCCTATCCAAAATTGTAAAATAAGTCATTTTTCAAATTCCGAAAAGAGAACACAAATTAAAAGACATTATAGGTTTATACTATATTTATTTTGTGGCATTCCTCTTACTTAAAACTAATTAAACTTAATTATTATACAACCGGTAATAATACACCATAATACAAATAACAACATATCGCGTGATAAAGAAAAAAGTTATGTATTTTTACATAATTGTTAGGCACAATATTTTTTTTTCCATAATATCGTCATAGTCGTAGAATACTGACGGATCTTTATATATATTCGTCAGATCCGTCAGTATTCTACGACCATGACGATATATTGTTTGTATCTATTTACGACTACAGTACTTTTAAAAAATTAAAGATTGTGTTCCACAAACAAAACCTACTGCAATTGTGACGAAATCAGTTATGTTGGTCTAACATTTAAACTACTAAATCGAGTTTGATAAAATTTCTATGGGACCAATCTGTAAGTCTATCCTTTCAGATAAAAAAATCCAAATCCGTTTAGAACTGACGGTGTTATGAGGTAACAAACAAAATACAACTTAATTCTTTTTGAAGTCTTTTAAAGTCAGCCTGTCACTTGGTTTGCTTCATGTGAAATTTCACAATTTTGAAATAATATCATTAAAAATGTATTTTGATAATTTCTTTAAAGAGAACAATATAATACAAAATAATACAGAGTTAGCAGTTACTTTACGTAAACAACTTGTAACTTAGATGCAAATAAATTTACATAAACAGTATGCAATTAAATATTTTTTGTGTTACCAAAATTAATCTCAAACCTATATATACCTATACAGTACTCGAATGATATATTTGAAGAGACCAAATCTGTGTTCCATAGCAAAACAGCTGCTTGGCAGCAGAAAATTAGCATCCTTATACAGTCTTCTTGTGGTAAAATCTTATTTATTTGTCACACATTTGTCACATTTTTTTGTCTATATTTCACGCGTTATTTACATAACGCCCCCGATATGTAACTTCCATTGATACAATATAAACTGCATTTCTTTCAAAAAGGTTTTCAATTTTGAATTTTTTTTTTTATATATCTTTCTTTATATATATTTTTATGTATGTATTTCTTTTTAGTACTAATGTTAACTGTGTTATTGAATGTAATATTTTTTTATACAACTTAGAATGGCAAACAAGCTGACGGTCCACCTAATGGAAAGTGGTAACTGTGGCCTATGGACATGAGCAGTACCATGGACATAACAGAGTATACTGTTTCGCCCATGATACCCCCCCCCCCATGCGTTGCCATTCCTGAGGACTCAGGTGTTATTCCTCTGTACCCTGTAAATTCACACCACATCCCACCCTTCAAACCGAAACACAGCCATGCAAACACAACTGCTTTACAGTTGAAACACGATAATAAGTATTATGATCAACAAATGCATCATTATACATTAGAAGGTTACTATTACCTCATTAATTAAAAAATGGAATACATGAAGGCTTTTTTGTCTCGTAATTATGATGTATCACACTATTTAGAATCTTACATACAAAATACTAAATAATATACTTAAGTCTAAAAATATGTGGGTATTTTATCTTAACATGTACATATATAGGTGAATAAGAGATTTTTATTATATACAATTTTCTTTAAACATATTTAAAAGAAATTATCAATATAAAACTCTGTTTTTTCTTTATTTGGCGTACATTGAAATTGTTAGCCAGTTTATTCACAAAAACGTCAAATCTCTCATAAACTGAGCTAGCTACTGTTTTGTCCTTTTTTTATGCACTAATCTCTCAATTCAAAAGTCAGTGACAAAACATTGCAATAGTTGAAATAGATTTGTAAGAAAATTTTAGGTTTTTATGAATAAAGGAGTAAGAATCTACCCACGTTATAGTATATAAAAATTTGTTAAATCAATAATTCAAAGATGACAAAATATTATTTGCCTCCTATAACTAACACTTTAACGTGATGTGTTAATATGGGAGACATAAGATTTTTTGTAGTTTATCCTTTGGGAAAAATAGTAAGTTTTACACTGGTAGTTTCCTTAATAGAATGTTAATTTATATATATAAACAATCTTAGGATATCTTTTCATCAAATTAATCATTTATGTCATAGTTTTATTAGCTCTTTTTTTTTTTCACATTATATAAATTTCAATAAAAATCAAGCCAATATTTTTTTATTTACTCTAAACACCAAATAAGAAAAAACAGTCTGTAACATAGTATTATATCAAGACTCAACTGTAGTGTCAAATATAAAGATCCATACTATAATGGTCCTATCATACTTATAAATAAAATGGGCATATAGAGCCCAAAAAAAAAACATATGGGCCTACTCTGAAATTACGTAAAGCGAATATTTGGGTACAAATAATATTCAATCCAACTTTGTCTGTTTGTGTACTTCAAATTATTATCGAGCCAATCCAAAGTATACTATGTAAACCATAGTAGCTTAAGATATATTAAACTTCCAAAATACAAATCAGCCCATCCGAAGTCTGTACCATTCATCTGATACCAATGAAGTTCTTAGTAGAAAATGTCCATCCTTTGAGATGAAGTTTTAAATTTGTCATTTCGTAGTAGGTCCCATACAATTTAAACGAGCAGCAAATGAATTTATTTCTTACATGTGTCCATTATCATACCATAAGAAAGAACAAGACACAGGACATCACTGTCTCGCTCTGTCACATACATGTTTTATTGAGATATAAGTATCTACAAATAGATTTGTTTGCCACTTATCTTAAAGTCTCCTCTAGACAAGATACAAACCAATCTATTGGTAGAATCGTATCTGTCAGCGCTTATATGAGAAAGAATGAGACAGCACACACCATTCTCTCATTCAATTCAATAGATTCATCTATACTTTGTCTAGAGGAGTTGTTCATAACGTTTTTCTAGCAACTAAGTGATAATACATATTAGACACCTACCGATCAATTGTATTTCGAGTTGTGTGCCCAACTGGAGATATAATTTACATTTGTGGCAGGGCCTCGATGGGTATCGCAAACTTGAAGTCTTCGGGGAAGAGTTTCGCCGCAAACGGATACATCAGCTTGTACGACTGCCGAATGGTTACATCTGCAACACCGGCGATGTCGCCTATCTCTTTTTGACTGCGCTTATCATCTGATGCCTGGAAATAAATTATTTAATATCAAATCTATATCTATAAGCTTGAGAAATCAAACTAATCTTCACTATCTTAAGAACAAATCATCTCTCCAAATTAAAAAATAATCCATCTTTTATACTTGCAGAAAACTACCATAATAAGAAAATATAGTATATTTTTTTAATAGGGTATCTTACTAATATAATAAAATTGTAACAGGACAATATCTGCATATGGGAGAGATTTAAGAAAAATTAATATAATAGGTCGTCTATAATGGTTGTCTTGTATCAATATATATATTGTTGTTTTAAAATAATATTTTTAGAAAGTTTGTATACATGTATGTTTATCATCAGGTATCATACAAAAAACAACTTTTAAATTTGATATGTTTTTGTGTCAGTCTGTTTATCTATACAGTCTACACAAAAACTTAAAATTTGATATATATCTCATCTTCCTGAGAGTATAACTTAAAATCTGGTGAATGTTTCATAATGTATGTACTTTATCGATTTTCCTACTTTTTGAAATCACGCGTACGAAGTAGCAAGAACCTCATATTTTTCTAAAAATTTTATATATATGGATACTTACTACTTTAAAACAGTCCATGGCAATCTATGAAAATTTAAGAACAATTTAATAATGTTACTAACTTTTCTCTTCAGATGCGGATTTTATATTAATATTATTGACAAATTTTTGTTTGAAACTATCTTCTATACAAAAATAAAAACAAAAAAAAAACAATAAAGTCAAATAACTTACTTGTGACGCCATATAAATAGCGGCAGCGGCGACCGATATAGGACTGCGGCCTGACACTATATCCAGTTCCCCAGCTTTCCTTGCTATATGTGTCGCTGCCCTTTGTACTGAGTTCGGAAGGCCGAGATTCGAGCAGAAACGAGACATGAAATCTGCAGTCGTGATGAGGTCCACAGAAGTCTCCAAAGCCTTGAGGATAAGCTTGAAACACCGGCCAATTTCTTTTTTGCTTATTTTGCTCACAGCACAGATTTCTTTGAAGGTGCGCGGTACACCTTCTTGGCGACAGGCAATATAAAGACAGGCAGACGCAATGGCGTCGTTGGCTCGGCCCTTTAAATTTTTTCCATCGTGTACCTGAAATCATAACATGTTATGATATTATTAATGTATCATGTACAAAGATCATGTCCCATAAAATAACTGAGTTCAATTGTTCTAAAACCAATAATTTTGATTTAAAAATTAAGCTACTATACCGATTTTGATAAATTTTCTATGCAAACAACCTGTAAGTATATCCTTTTAGATAAAAAAGAATTTTCCAAATCTGTATACAACTGACAGAGTTATGAAGTAAAAAAAATATAACCTAATTGTGAACCTCCTTCTTTTTAAAGTCGGTAGATAAGAATAATTGAATTACATAACATATAATAAACATATTATTTTAATTTTATAAATGTTTCCTTTACACTTTTAATGTTTTAAAAAATATGTGTAAAGTTTAATATTTGCATGACATATTTATTGTAACAAACATCACTGCAACAGTAGTATGTAGTACATTATACTAAGTCTATGCTGCAACATAATATTTAATAACATTTTAAATTTAATCCAATGTAACACATATTCAAATACTTTATTACTGATTGTATATAGACATAGATGGAGTTCAATGCATGTCATTCATTACAGGTTTTATCTATCAAAGTACAGAATTGAATAATGCATAATTCTATGTATAAGAAATATAAATAATATTCATATGCCAACTTCAATGCAAATCTGTTGTTTATGACGAACTGACAAACATGAAAAATCTTGTGTTTACAATATTACGATAATATATGCCTGAAATAAACAATGAAATCTTATCATTTCCATAATTGCATTTAGTACCTGTTTGAATAAGTTATTAGCTCTATCAACAATGGTCTTTGGCAAATTAATTCGGTCTGCCATTGTGTTTATTTCTCGGAATGCATTTATGAGTGCTCTGTCTGTACTGCTGATATTTCTTCTGTTCTGATACTTGGATACACCAAAACTGTCGAAGGACGCATCACCCCGGCCTGGTCCGATGATTGTGGAAAGATCCCCTCCAGATAGCAGGGGGTTCTCTGGACCACCGACACGAGATGGGTCAACACCAGACTTCTCATTGCTAAACGTACGCCACTCTGATCCGACATCTATAACTCTGAAATAATGAATAGTAATTGCTCAATTATTACCCATGTAGCAATTATGGCTTATGGAAAGGAAATATGGTCCTACATGTTTGCCCCTATGCAAAAACTTCAAATTACTCAGCAGGCCATAGGGATGATTATGCTCAAAGTTTCATTGTGTGATAGAATCCGAAATGAATTTATCTGAAAAATAATCAAAGTAACTGACATAGCCCCAAGGACAAGCAAGATGAAGCGGCAATGGGCACGTCACGTAGCTCAAAGAACCGACAACTGATGGGGAAGAAAGATTCTTGGGTGGCAACTACATACGAGCAAACAAAATGTAGACGAGCCCCCACTAGATGGAACGACAACCTCAAATGCATTGCGGGGAGTCAGGTGGCTGAGGACCGTTCCTTAATGCAGTCTATGGGGGGGGCCTTTGTCCAGCAGTGGACAGATAATGGCTGAAATAATAATGTTGATGAGTTGCTAAATTATGGTTTAACATATTTATATTTCTCAAAGAAACAAATTCATTGACATGGGAAAATACAAGTTTTACAAATACATTACAAGTGATAATAGAAACCTACCAAACCACAAATCTTGATTTTAACGCCATCTAGTATTTTATATGTCTAATTTTGTTTAGTGACAACCATCTTAAGTATAATTTCAAAGGTACAAAATGGAAACAAATTAAAATCAATGTTCATGTGGGTAGGTATTATAAAATAAGAAACCAAACTACACAGACACAGCTCCAACTATGTGTACAACTTCAACTATCATCTACTATCATTACAGATGCAGTTATTATCCAATATATCAATTATACATTTCTTAATGGAACTTAGAATGACAAACAAACAAGTTGACAGCCCACTTGATGGAAAGTGGCAACCATCTGCATCAAATATAAATAGCACCATGAATATCACAGAGGACATAATACTGAGATCTCAGATGTTAGACATATATACATACAACATATCTTTGTTATTGTTTATTAGACATTAAATAGTTATCTGCCATATGGTCCTGGCATAGAATGAGCCACTCCTTCTTTTCCCATAGGTGTTGTAAGATGTGATTAAGAGAACTTAATGGTCGAGGAATGGACAGCAATCAGTTTTAATTAAAGGACTGAAAACACAGGAAACCATTATTCCCAATTCAAAATTAAAATTTTCAGACAATATACTACACTATGAACATTTTTAATATCTGGCAAACTGATATCATTATATGAAACTATGTAGCATGAAAATAAGTTATCAAACACATAGTAATGCACCCAACAACATAAGCAGCGACATAGCTACATAATGCATTTTAATTAAAAGTGGCAACATATGAAAATGCATAAAACTTTAGATACCTCACTATCAATGAGCCTATACATATCCTTCCTGTTATTATTTCGTTATCGTTCTTATTAGATAATTACAACCTCTACGAAGAGAAATCAGTTGAATTGAATGAATTTAAATTGTTTGAAATTATAATTTTCTAATATTACAAAACTAATTAATCACGGCAAAATTATTTCGTAAGTATTCAAAACTTATGGACTTACCTATCTCCAACAACGAGACCGCATTCCGAACATATCATGTCACCTGCCCTGTAATCTTCAATAAGCGGTGCATCAGGGTGAGCATAGCAAACCACCTTATTTGCTTCACTTCTAAAAACACAAGAAAATGCTTGGAGTCAGTAACGTAAACTCAACAAGTAGAAATCGCACCATCAGGCAACTTTACCGCGCTTTAATACTTTAGTTTCATTACTACAAACAACTTACTTATTAACATAATGAATAAATATATTATTCGTGTGATACAACAAAGAAATTACTTTTCTAATAATGCGACATAAATAAAATAAATTAAAAAAACAGACCTCGACGTGCTCGCCATGATTGTCAAATTACTGAATTCATAGATAAATAATGTTTTTCTTTATAAGTAGAACGTAGTAATTTGACTGCTTGCTCTGTGTCATAAACACAGCTTCATAGACTTGGAACCTTAATGTTTAACTACCATAGACAAAATATAATTGAAGTGTAGGTATTCTTAATATCAATTAACATTAATAAAAAATAATATAGTATTTTTCATTTAAATATATATTTTTCGTACATTTATTAGAAAAATCTATATCATAGATTGTATATTACAATAATAACTTTAAGTAATAGTGCCATCTAGCGTTGGTACTTGTATACTGCAATTTTATGGAGTAGCCAAATGATGCTAGATGGCGATATAAACAAAATAATTATAGTTCAGAGGAATTGGTTGTGTATCACGCACACAGAGTAAGTACATCAATACATTTGGAATTATGGTAGTACCTACCGGAACGCAAATGATACATAAAATAAGCAGCTCATGATAATAAAACCAAAATTCTAATTTAAATAAAAATAAAAAAAAACGTGTCTAAAACATTGTAACATTATCTAAATGTCACGCTTCTGACGTTCTACAAGAACTTACAAGGTCACTGGGTGAAGTAAAGACCCAATTACAGTTTGCATCGATTGATGACCAACTAGTTATATGTATCTATTTATATATAATATAACGAAATGTAATAACGTAGTTGTAACTGTTGCAACGTTTCATGTTTCCTTAAATTATTACAACACACATATCCAAATACTAATTTACCCTTGTTGACGTCACATTTCTGTCCGATATTAATTGTAATTTCATTTGAAAATTGTAAAAAAGCTAAATAAAAAGGATATGATCTATTGTGTCTCTTCGAGGTATGTTTGAAATTAATTTCCTTAAATCGATTTTATCTGAAAGGCAAAATCTTAAATTAGAATATATTTAAAATAGTAATACAAATTTTAGTAATGATTCTGATTTTTTTTTTAATTTTCTGCTTTATATGACCTTTTTACTTAAATTCGCATTTCATTTTAAAACAAGTAGGTACTTCAATTGTCCGAAAATTAACATGAATGTAATTCGAAAATTAACCCAATCCATATCATAAATAATTATTAAAATCGATCCAAAATTGTAGAATATTAGAATAGGTATTTCGTATATCTATTTTCCTATTCATTCTGTATAGTATTCTTTGTAAAGCCATTAATATAATATAGTATAAAATAGTATTAGTATAGTATTATATTATCTGTGGTGAAACTATGTTATATACAAAAAAAAATACATTTTAGGAACCTACTCCTTTTTTTAAATCTTTTAAAAATAATTTGGCTCTCAATTATAAAAATCACAAATCCAAATATTAATCGGCGAATTAGTTGCAGTTTAGAGTACCCGAATAAAAGCAAATGGATATGACAAATAACATTAAATGGGGGGAAAAGGATTGTTAGCAATGAAGTTTGACAGCCCCATTGCTAGCAATATACCTTATTAGGTCGACCTTCACGTGGTTCCCCCTGGAAACCATCGTGAACAATTCTTGTTGAATTCGTCACGATGGGCTAACTGGCCTACTCCATCCTCACCTATCATTCTTCACTGGTGCCCCGCCGGTGTATACCGATAGCGCGGGTGGGGTTACCATTCCATTATCATCCATTTAAAAAAAACACATTAAATATACTGTAAGTATACACAATATATATAGATACATACTTATTATGCACCTATGTAAGTCTATACTATTATGATAATGTCACTATTTGCAGCTTGCAACTGCAACAGACAACAGGCCAAAAATAGAATAATTGGCGAATTCCAACGGCTAGATGCTGTATTTCGCAACAAAAATAGCAACACAAATGTATAAATTAACTCGACACTGTCTTCATAAAAAAAAAACAAAGGTAGATATAATTCTTAATGTTGACAGCCAGTTTTGTATGGACAGAGTGAGAAAAATTCTTTTTTTTTTTATCCTAATTGCCTATGGGTCAGCGCAGGAAGTATATAATATCAACTAAAAGAAAAAACAGTATCGGACTAAATCTGCCCACCTGATGTAAAGTGGTAATCGTCGCCTATAGACATGAGCAGTACTATGGACATAACAGAGTATACTGTTTCGCCCATGATGCCCTCCATGTGTTGCCATTCCTGAAGACTCAGGTACGTCTTATTCCTCTGTACCCTATAAATTCACTGCCATAACCCACCCTTCAAAATGAAACACAGCGATGCAAACACAACTGCTTCACGGTAGAAACACGAATGGGACAGAGGTGTCCAGGCAAACGACTTTTGTACAAAGTCTCCCAATTAGGTAGGTTTCTTACATACTCGTAGTTTGCGACTGAGTACTTAGTCGTACTCATGACAGGGTTTTTTTTTAATATGTGATGTTTTTTTATAATGTAATGGTAAGTTCGCCTGCGCTAACGATGTACGCTGCCAAGGCACCAGTAAGGGATGATGATAAAGATGAAAAGGCAGGTTAGTTAGTCCGTTGTGATGAATTAAAAGTATTATTTATTCTAATGATTAATTTGTCATATGATGGATGATTAACCACTCTATGATCTCTACTCTATGATCTAATTCTTAAGTGACAAATGCGGTTACTGCTTAGACGGACAAAGCTTCTTTGCGGTCCGGGAATCCCAAAATTGAATCACAACCTAAATCTATGAATTTTTATAATATTTTTTCTCCCATCAAAACAGGTGTAAAATACAGAAACAAACTAACATCGAAATGGTACGCTAAATTCGTACAGGGGGGAAAGGGATTGTTAGTAATGGAGACTGAAAATCCCATTGCTAGAAATATACTCAACTAGGTCGACCTCCTCGCGGTTCCCAGTGGAAACTATCATGGTTAATTCCTGATGAATTCATCATGATAGGCTAACTGGCCTGTTTTCATTCTCATCGATCACCCTTCACTTGTGCTCCGCCAGCGTATCCCGTTAGCGCAGGCGGGGTTACCATACCATTTTCACCTATCAAAAAAAAAAAAATTCGTACACACTGAAAGGTATATGAATTAAATATTCTTTTTTACTAACATAGTTATCTAAGTCTTGTATTAACACGAAATGGATTGTGATCTAATTAAGGAAATTATTACTAAAGACAATGTCTGCCAATTTTTTTATTTTTATGTTCATTTTTTATTCGATGTATATAGTATGCACATAAGTAACGAGAAAATAATTAACTTACCGTGTTTTTTGTCGTCTTGTCTCGCAGTTCCGGATGAAGTCGAAACAATTGTCGGAAACGACAAAAACACAGTGAGTTCATTATTTCCTGTTGCAATGTATGTTGGTTGTAAAAGAGCCATACAAGAATTTTTTTTATACAACTTAGAATGGCAAACAAGCTGACGGCCCACCTGATGGAAAGTGGTAACCGTCGCCTATTGACATGAGCAGTACCATGGACATAACAGAGTATACTGTTTCGCCCATGATACCCCCTAATTTGTTGAAATTATTTCGTTGCCATTCCTGAGGACTCAGGTGTTATTCCATTGGTATTTTTCAATACCCAGTAAATTCACGCCATAGAGATCCCACCCTTCAAACCGAAACATATTGCTAACAATGGGGCTGCCATGCAATATTGCCGATAGCTGCTTAGACTACAATTCTCCAATGTTGATAGTCGCACGCATAGAAAAATTTCTAAATACTTCTAAACAACTAATTTGTTGAAATTATTTCAGTTAATAATATATAAGTTAATATTCAATTCCTAGTGAATTTGTAATGATAGGTTAACTAGCGTTGACTGACTTCATCCTCACTTATCATCCCTCACTAGCGTACTGCCAGCGTATACCGATAGCGCGAGCGAGGTTGCAATTCCATTTTCGTCTCATAAACAATTTATAAAGTTGCCAATTGAGTGTAGCTCCAAGGGCACAACAACTGCTTCATTTTCTCACAATTATTAAATAAAGAACACTAATAATAAGAAACTGTTGGAAAACGATATTAAATTTAAATCAAGTTATTTTTAAACTGTGACTTCAGTCATCCAGAAAAAAAGATAAGTCGTTTAAAAATACAATACTAAAAAGTCACACAAAGGTCGTGGATTAAGTTACGAAAATAACCGTCAAGAATTATCCCTACGTCCCTTTGCCTTAAGGCAAATAAAAAGTTTAATTCACGGCTCTTTGGGCTGCCAATAAAAAAAAAAACTAGTAATATGAAATGTAATAGGTAAAGCACTAACGAATATTCATAAACAGTGGCCGAGCGTTCCGAATAGGGTTTATTGCTCAAATCCTTTTACTATTAAGGGCATGTAACAAGTAGTAGGGCCTAGTTTGTGCACGTCCACCGGTTGCCCTTGGCTTGGACGGGACAGCTTTTAGGTACTGCCGTCGTCAAAATTGATTTATTATTCATTGTTTTAGTTAATGTGAGCATGATTTTTAAATTTGCAATATGCTACCAATTTACGATATACTATTTAATTCTTTTATTTCTCCTCTTCTCTACTAGGTAGTCTGGAAGAGATGCTTGAACTTCTTGAGATCTTTTGTACTTTTTAAACTCTTACTTACTCGTACATGGGTGTCATATTTTATGACGCCCATGATACGGTTCGTGTACTTGTATATAGACGACAGCTACCACTTTCCTTCAAGTGAGCTATCTAATTATATTACATATTTCATTCTCATCTGTATGTATAATTATTGAAAATAAGTAATATAAAATGTAAATGAAAGACGTCATTTTCTTTTGTTTCTTTGTTTTTATAATTTGAAATTGTAAAATGTGATCAAGACTGTGAAATAATTTAATTGTTATAATTTCAAATCAAATAGGATTACACTTACCTAATGCCACTGCTGAACAAAGGTCTCCCCCTATTGGGAGGTTTTTTTTTATTTAACTTAGAATGACGCACAAACTGTCGGCCCACCTGATTTAAAGTAGTAATGCCTGTAGAAAGAGGCAAAAGTAGTACCATGGGCATAACAGTTTTGCCAGTAGTTGCCTCGCACACGGGTTGCCAACAGCGAATGCCAAGTCGCGTGTCAAGTAAGGCAACTTTAGGCTTTGATGATGTTTTAAGAGAGACGATATTTCCCATCCCTCGGCCATTAAGTTCCCTTAGTTTCATCTTATAACACTCACGGAAAAGGATAAGTAAATTTTGTCATCATTTTGCAAAAACATGACCAAATATCAAAAAATAAATACGATTAATAAAATATAACAATTATCAAATAAATTTTACCACTCATCACGTATACCAACATTTTTTTATATTTTTTAGTTCAGTTATAACGTAAGTAGGTAGTGTCAATTAGTATACTGTAGACATTTTGCCGGTGACTGTACCATGCATTGTAAACACAAATCAAATTGTATTTATATTAGCAACAAATAAACGTTACTTTTGCAATATGTGAGGTTTGTATTAGCAAGTGGCTGGTCTTGACAAGTGACTAGAGTATCTTGAGTCAAGTTCACACGCTAAATAGAATTATTTTGTATTATTATATATTTATAATAAACTACCGCTAAAAATAAAAAATGAAAAATTAAATAAGGGGGAGGGAAAAGTAAATCGACCTCCACGCGGTCCCCCCTGGAAACCATCGTACTGAATTTTTGGTGTTCCGTATATACACCTAATTCCATTATCATCTATTAAAAAAAACTAAATAAGTTTAATAAAAAACTAAAATAATATCTTATTGAAAAATGTTATTACTTAATACATATTTAATGTAGATAAAAGATAACTAGGAATATAAATAATAAATTAAATATATGTTGGGAATTATCATTGTATGCTCACTAACATTACTATCGCTATTATTGAATTGCAATATCCAAGTTGGTACTAATGTAGAAATAGTTTTATTAGGTTAATTAGCTCATCATCGTGAATTGCTTCCATCGACAAAAATTAACCACATAATTATTTCTAGAAGTAACCGTGTGGATTGACCCTACAGGGTTCAATTTATATATATGTATCATCATCATCATTATCATCAGCCTTAACTGTCCACTGCTGAACATAAGCCTCCCCTTGGGAAGTTTTGCCAGTAGTTGCTATGCTTTGGCAGGCGGATTGGCAACCGCAGTTAGGCGGGGGGAAAGGAATTGTTAGTAATGGAAACCGAGAATCCTATTGCTAGCAATATACCAAACCAGGTCGACCTCCTCGCGGTTCTCCCTGGAAACTATCATGGTTAATTCCTGATGAATTCATCATGATGGGCTAACTGGCCTATTTTCATTCTCATCTATCACCCTTCACTGGTGCTCCGCCAGTGTATCCCGTTAGCGCAGGCGGTGTTACCATACCATTTTCACCCATCAAAAAAAAACCGTAGTTAGGCTTTAAAGATGGTTTAAAAGGAACGCTGCTGTCTATCACTCGCCTTCCCTAAGTCGCCTCTTACGCCACCCAACGGGAAAGGAAGAGGTTGCCTATTCTATGCCGAGACGGATATATAGATAAAGAAAACACCCAAATCAAATTATAAATAAACATACTCATGAATACAAATGTTTGCATTTCACGTGTATCGAACCCACGACCATCGGAAGCCAAGGTCGTCAGCGTTCGGTCAACATTAGGTACATGTATAATTTTCACAGTTAGCATAAATTGACGCGGTCAATGACCAACCATTTCATGAAGTCATACCCAGACATCCGCTTGTGTCAAGATCCTAGTTCAGTTCTCCTATAGTAACAAACATATACTATGTATGTACATAATGGTAGATACTACATATCATATAATATAATATATATAAAATAAGTAAATAGATATATAAAATAGACAAAAGTATAAAGAATGTAAAAAAGAGCGTTACGCACACAATTTTCACCAAAATTTCGAGTATGATTAAGAAAATTTGCTATAAATAATAAAATATATAAATAAGTTGATGAGATAAAAACAGATTAAAAACTTAAAAAAAATTACGATAAGTCATAATTTCCTTTATACTTGCACAATATTACAGATTACTATTTTTTTACCCGCTACTTCGTAAACATGAATTTAGAAGTAGGAATACCAATTAAATAAACTGCTTCTACGTGACGTATCAAGATGAAACTTACCACAATATTTTAATTTACATTTTCAGTAACATAATAATGAAAACCACATCCAAATGGGTGCAGTATTTTTTGCGTGATGCCGGAACAAATACATATATAGATAGAGAGACAAACAAAATTTCTCGAACATATTATTTTGACATCTGTCGGTCTTATTAAAACTTCATATTAATTTTTCCTAAATACAGACATCGTCTAGTTGAAATTTTATTATATTGATGAGATTATTTAATTATAAATATGAAATTTAATTTTGTTTTTTATCAGTTTATTTCTTATACTTATTAAAATAAAATATAAAAAAAAATACTATTATAATTATTCACATCTGAAACTCTAATTGCGTGAATCCAATTTTCACTTGACCAGTTTTTCTCGAAATTGATTCTTCGTTATTCCTAACTCAATGATAAACACGTAATTACGTATATAAAAAAAAAAAACTCATCAAAATTCTCAATGTAATGTTTATTTCAATATTTAATAAGGACAGATCTCAAGATAAATCTTATTTATTTACACTTTATTGCACCATTTATAAAAATTAATAAATACAGTAAATTTTAATAAGAAGTGATACAAAGGACGGCCTTATCTCTAAGCAATCTCTTCCAGACAACCTTTAGGTAGATGACATTGAGAAAAAAGAGTAGATAGCGGACTATTATAGAGATAATAATATATACAAACATTTATGTATATGTACACACATATAAACAAACAAATATATATATATATATAAACATGTACATACTTAATAGCACACATACGACAGGAAAGAATGAAGAAGGAAAATGAAGAAAGAACTTAGTATTAAAGGAAGAGATAGTGGGACTTACAGAGGTTTTGAAGCTTGTGAGAGTTTGAGAGCACTGAATAGAAGCAGGTAATGAGATTCACAGGTGAACTGCCTGGACAGTAAATAAGTTAGAATAAAATACAATATTGTTATTTGCTATTCGACATTTGATTTTACTAGGATTTCGTTTAAAGTTGAGCAACATAACACCTCGTCGATAATGACTAACTGTTTAACAAATAAGTTAATAAACAAACTTTAATAAATCACCATTCTTATGGTTTCGTCATGGAAATTTTACAATATAATCTAAAACATGTACTTAACGTGTAGGTACATATTATATTATAATTTTCTCACAGATTTAGCATTACTGTGAAATAGTAAAAATAAAGACTATATATATTATTTATATTATAGTTTCGAAAACGGTCAATTTCCCATAAATTTGCTTCGATGGACCAACTGACCTAACTTTAACTTCATCATTTCATTCGCCACTGATGTTCTGCCGGTACCATTCCATTTTCATTCATCATCATCTTCCTGCCCTTATACAAATTATTTGAGATCGACGTAACATGATTTCATTCTTATTACACAAAATTTTGATTTCTCATTTTACGACCAGCCTAACATCAACTATTCTTGGGAACTATTGCATTTTCATCCGTAAAACTATACATAAACACACGAATTGTACATATAGCACGATGTGTGTAATAAATAGGTTACTAAAAAACAGATGAATAGACTAAAACGTAAGAGTTCAACAATGTTTTTTGTTTACTTGATCGTTAGAACTTAAACTGTCTTCAACTCTAAAACCCACATAATCCTTATACAATAATTCCAAAATGTCACCCTGCAACTTGCAGAATATAAATATGTAGGTAAATACATAATTTTTATCTTAAACTATCCTTGCTTATTGCTTTGACGTAATAACCGATAAAGTACTTGTACTCGTACACTGACTGGATAATTACGAGTGATTAAGAAATCTATGCCAGCATCATTAGGTTCTTATTTTTAAACGGTTGTAGAAAACAAACATAATGCTTTAGACATTGAACACGTGTGGTACGTTTCAAAGGTTTTCCCCTTTGCCAAGGTAAACTAAAAATAATAATATTTTAATTGCTTTAAATAGGGTAGGTCCCACTTGTTACACACATACACAACCTATGTTAAATAAAGTTTCTTAAATCTATTAGCCATATATAGAAAAGCAGGCAAATATTACGTTTAAGACCATACTGCATCGATAAATAATTCAAGCATCGATAAGCGTTTTAAAAAGGAAAATACTCTTTTCTTAAAGGTTACGATGTCGTATCGGTTCGAAAATACTGCTGCTGGAAGTTAATTCCAAAGTGGTCGTGCGTGGAAAAAAGTTTTTAAAAAAAATTAAACTTTCGGGAACACACAACAACGCCATTTTCCTACAACAGTATTCTATATCTCATTATAAATTCTACATATGAACTAATATCGACTTATTGCAACAAATTTTTCACAGATGACATTATTTCCAGAAAAGAAATATAGTTGCAAATTTGTCTGTGTGGTGAGAGTGATTGTTAGTAATAGGAATAAGCAAGCCCCATTACTAGCAATACTCGTATGCCCAGGCAGATCGAACTTTACGTGATCTCCCATAGAAGCCATCGTGTTTAATTCCTATCGAATTTGTCACACTGTGCTAACTGACCTGACTTTTCATCCTTACCTAGTATCCTTCAATGAAACCCCGCCAGCGTATACCAATACCGCAAACCAGACTACCATTTCATTAAAAAAAAAATATAAAAATATCTGGGAGCACAACTTTTTAGGTTAATAAATTCAAAAAAGTTTCCTAAACTGCCCACCAAAACTCGAACTAAGAACTTTATTTACGCAAAGCAACGTGCCCACCACTGCACTACGGAAATCCTCATATCTACTGGCGAAGGTTACTACTTTTCGTTAGGCAAACTATTAGCTTTTTGCCATTCTTTTTACTACTCGATCTAGGAAGCTGTTTGACAGGTAGATTCTATACAAATGTATATAATTACAAAAGTCTTTTGATGTTTTCCATCGACTTTGAAAAAAGAGATTCTCAATTCGATTTTATTTTTTTATGTTGGATACCTCATAACTCCGGAAGTTCTAATCTGAACACATTGGTTCTAGAGAAATTTTATCAAAATCGATTCAGTAGTTTAGTTTTGAAATAAAAATAACTGGTTTTGCCACAATTAAATTCGCTTTTTTGTGTAAACCAATTTTTAATGATCACTGAAATGGTAGACTACGGACTTCATGCGGACGAAGCCACAATATTCAGCTAATATATAATATGGTGTGTAAACAAAACATTCTTCGTTTACTTATTCGCTTTATCGACGTGACTAATTTTATATACTTGTCCTGTCTGTAAATAACGTACCTTGACACGTCACACTTCAAGGTTCAGCCGTATCAGTTGAATCAGACGGAGGCGCCGAGCCTTCCTCGTATTCACTGAATGCGCATACGAACCTGTGAATCATAAATGAACACAAAACATTGGCTCATAATAATATTTTAACATATTGCCGTGTATCCTAGCATAGAATAGCCCACCATAACCCCCCAAAAGGGAGGCTTATTTTCAGCAATAGAAAGTTAAGGGGTTATATGATAATGACGATGAATTGATGATATTATCTACGGAATCGAAACATGATCCTACACGGTTGCCCTTATGTATAGGTTTCGGTCAACAGTGAATTATATAGGGAACTATGTTCGGAAATCTTTGTGTGATGAAATTTAAAATAAGAATATCCGCAGAAGAACCAAAATGGCCGACATAGCCCACAAAAGCCAGCTGAAATGGAATGATAATAGCTGATATGAAGATGACGATAAATTATTGATATTATTGTATTATTAATTATTATACATTACTCTCTATAAAATAATAAATTATAAGTGGGACAGTAGCACATTGTTGAGCCTTGTTTCATTTCGTACAGGTAATAAAAGAATACAAAAATTATTTTATATACCAATTTGTAATAATAATATATCGTATCACAATCCAATTATCCGCATGTGAAGAAAATATAACAATGTATGCAAGGACCTTGAAATTTTTTCAACAATCCTTGCAATGTATGTAACATAAGGCTGCCAATTTGTTACTTTAAATTTATAGCCGTCATTTTTTTAATGTATATAATATCGAATGTTATGCAGAGCAGTTATTGGAGTGCAAATTTAATGCTGTTTTATGTAATATTTATTTTATTAATGTATTAATTTGCAATCTGTTGCCTTGCTATAAATAAATAAATAAATTATATCTAATCCCACTATCCATACTAAAATTGTAAATGTGAAGTTTGTTTGTTACTCCTCAGCGCCTTCACAACTTAACCAATCGCTATGAAATTTTGTATACTCTATGGAATGGAGAAGTGTATTAGCTACTTTTATCGCGGTAAGCGAACATATCCCGGTCACGTGGACGAAGTCGCGGTAAAAACGAGTAACATTATAAATGGGAATTTATAAAGAGGTATGCATGGATGGACATTTGTTACGCAATCACACGTAAATAGCTGACAATTACTTCATTTTCTCGAACTGTATAACTATGTTAAAGTAAATGCTGTGGATAACTATAATAGGCATGTGCTTTAATATTTTATTGTATTTAATGTTTGTTATATGTGTTATAATGTAATATGCTTGGTGTTCTTTTAAATAAATAAATAAAGATTTGAAGATTTTAAGAAGATAAGAACCAAATTGTACAAATTTGGCACACGGATAGATAAAACATAGTGCACATAGTGCCTTATTTAACCATTTATACAAACAATTGTATATATATATATATATATATATATATATATATATATATATATATATATATATATATATATATATATATATATATATATATATATATATATATATATATATATATATACACAATAATTAAACAAAAATGTCTTTTTACAGAACCAACAAACAAAGTCAAAAACAACAAGATGAAAATGTCAAATGTTTCGTAACAAATCAGTCACTTTGCATAATTTATGAATATCTCAAAATAACTTCTTTCAGAAGTTATAACTTTAAAAGTCCAACACAAAGCTAAAAGGTCATTTATTATTTACGTCACAAGCCGGCGCGAGGGCTGTGCGAAGTGTGACCTGTGACAAAACGTGACAAACAAGGATTCCTGACGTCACTTCGTCGCAAATTTAGCCGAAACAAACGTCATTAGAAGCTTGTCAACTTCACTTGTTACTGCAATATACTTGGAATAAACTTTTGAACCAGTTCTCGTTATTGGAATTGGCTGACTTCTACAAATAAATATCACTGAATAAATGTGAAAGTGTGTTTATTTTAGTGTCTATTTGTTACCTCTTCGCGTTTTAACGACTCAAATGGCCATGTTTTTTTAATGTTTTTTTTTATAGGTGAAAATGATATGGTAACCCTGTGCTAACGGGATACGCTGGCGGAGCACCAGTGAAGGGTGATAGATGAGAATAAAAACAGGCCAGTTAGCCCATCATGATGAATTCATCAGGAATTAACCATGATAGTTTCCAGGGAGAACCGCGAGGAGGTCGGCCTGGTTGAGTATATTGCTAGCAATGGGATTCTCAATCTCCATTACTAACAATCCCTTTCCCCCCTTTTCAATGGGTGATAATGGAATGGTAACTCCTCCTACGCTGTCGATTTATACTGGCGGGGTACTAGTGAGGGATATTAGTGATAAAAGCAGGTTAGTTAGCCCATCGAAATGAATTCTACAAGAATTAACCAAGATGGTTTCCAGGGGGATTCGCGTGATGTCGACCTGATAAGGTATATGACCAGCTGAAGCTGTTAGATCTTAATTCTCAACCTATACCCAGTGTACCCTATATTGCCAGCAATGGAGCTATTAGATTCCTATCAGTACCAATTCTTTACCCCTTACGGTCGTTATATTTGGTTTGTCACATCAGCACTTCCTCCGGTGTTGCGAGTGCTCATGAACAGCAATAGTCACTTACCATCACATGAGCCGCATGCTCATTTGCCTTCTATTTTATACAAAAAACAATACATGTATTAGAAGGAAATAATGCAGCAGTCATATATGAAAATTGGTATAAGACATAGAAAAAAATTAACAAAAACGCCTGTATAATAACCACCTATAAATGTGCTTTTTTTAAACCTATAAAGGTCAAATTTTCAATCAAAATAATTGACATACTTCCGTAATACCTTGAATACGATGTGTTAATATGAATGAATGAAAATAAAAAAACATATGTCGATTTGTCAATGTGGAAAATAAAAAAAAATTATCCCATGTCTTATTCAGTAATGGAAAACTAGTGAAAAATACAGAGGGGAGATCAGAATAACACAAAAACTACAAAAAAAAAACTATTATCGCCCTATAAGTGCTAAAAATCATTTACAGTAAACTAAGATATTGCAAGACGACCCAATATTTCAAAATTAAAAAAAAATATGTTGATTAATCGTTAAGCAATATATCCGTTTCAGAAGATAACGCAATGTTTCATAATAGTGAAATTCATAACATCAAGCAACAATGCCAACTCGAACTCGACTGTCAAGGTCCTCTATTGAGTATTGCTGTTTCATTTTATTAGATTTGAATTAAATTATAATGTTTAATGCTAAAAGTATATAATAAAATAAATAATAAAACTCTCCATTAAAACACGTAGGTCACAATCACAGCTAGTGTTTACTAAAATTATAATTAAAAAGATCAGATATTATTGTTTGAGAAAATATTTACTATTTAATCAATTATGAAATTTATCATACACGAAATGTTTCGGATGAAGAAAAACATAATTTAGATCTTTTTTAACGTCGGCAATAAAAATCATCAATAGAATAGGCCACCAATTCCTTTTCCATGAGTGTCGTAAGAGGCGGCTAGGAGAGAGTGAGGAATGGACAGCAGCGTCCCTCTTAAAACAGCTCCAAAACCTAACTGCGGTTGTCAATCCTACTGCCAAACTTGGCAACTACTGGCAAAACCCCCCAAGGCTAATGTGAATAAAAATCAAGTATATAGGTACTCATCATCATTTAATCAACCGTTAACTGTCTACTGCTGAATATAGGCCTCCCTTATAGGCCTTCCGCACTGCGGAGATCGTCAACGATATCAGGAGAAGAGAGTTACCATGAACTGATGTCAATGTATTCCATGGTGCTATTTATATCTACAGGCTCTTATCACCACTATTCCTTAGATAGATCGTCAGTTTGTTTACCATTTGAAGTTGCATAAAAAAATACAGGATATAGGCACAAATAACTATCTCTGAAACGGATTAGTCCGTTCATAGGTTATAAAAATATTTGCAATGTAAAATATAAATAGGCGCCAAGTTGACAATAACAATATTTATCTTTAACATATTATAGCATAATAACATATGAATTATTGAGGTAATATTTAAAGCATTTCTTTTTAAATATGAGCTCACGATAACGGCCAGTTCACGACCTATTGCATCTCGTATCGACGTTTATTGTGTTTCCAGAATACTTGAGAAAAGTTAAAATTTCCTAATATATTTTTATTGTATATATGATATTATATATATATATATATTTAAAAAATATTTTAAATATTTCTAAATTTTTTTGCGAAATAGCGATATCAATCATGAACACACACATCCATAAACGGCAGGACGTTTTATAGCTGGCATTGCAAATATTTAAATTTAGAATGTGAATTCTAGTGTTTAAAATATAGATTTTTGCTTCAATTGTCACTCAATAAATATTTTAATACTAAACATTATCAATTGAAAAAAAAAAAACATTCAGAACTCTGAACACTACTTAGTGACGTGATTAGTGACACTAATTAGTGACGTGATTACATAATAGGTACAATCGTAAACGCAAATTAGAAAAATTACGAATCTGGGGGGGACAAATTTCTCATCGACGGCGATGCGTTATGCCACGGGTCACGTCGTGTCTCCCCTGTTTCCCCAAATGGCAAAAAGAGGGCAAAACACCAACACTCATGTATGGAAGCGAATCGTGGGTATGGCAGAAGAAGCATGAAAGTAAGATAAATGCTGTACAGATGAGAGCTTTGAGAAGTATGTGTGGTATTACTTTAAAAGATAGAGTAAGAAACAGTGTGGTTAGAGAGAAGTGTGGACTGAAAGACGATGTAGTGACAAAAATTGAAAAAGGAATGTTGCGTTGGTTTGGTCATTTGGAGAGGATGGATGAAAGAAGAATTACGAAAGAGATTTATCGAGCAAGAATGAATGGAGATGTCGGTAGGGGCCGCCCTAGACGGACGTATGTCGACCAAATAGGCGACGTGCTGAAGAAGGGCCAAATTAAAAGTACCCGTAACCGACGAGCGTGTATGACAAGATTGATGAATGTGGAAGAAGCGAAAGAGGTTTGTTTGAATCGAAGCATTTGGCGTTCCATTGTTTCTGCCTACCCTAATGGGAGACAGGCGTGACAGATATGTATGTATATGTATGTACGAATGTTCCTTTTTTGAATATCGCTTAAAGACGTAAAGAATAAAAAAATTGTCTCCTAATTTATTATTAATCATGATGTCTAACTGCTAGACAAAGGTCTTCCCTGTTTCCTTCCAAAAGTTTTTGTGCATATCATCATCATACTGTCACGATATAAGCCGTTATGTATTCACTGCTGAAAATAGGCCTCCCTTATAGGAGTAGGATTTTTGCCAGTCGTTACTACGCTTAGTAGGCAGGCTGGCAATCGCAGGTAAGCTTTTCATGATGTTTTAAGAGGGACGCTGCCCACCCCTCGACTATTAAGTTCTTTTAATTGCTTCTTACCGCACTCATGGGAAAGGAAGGGGTGGCCCATTCTATGCCGGGACCACACGGCAATCTTGTAGATATATTCTTATTATATTGTTGTCTTAATCATAATAATGGTAAGTAAAGAAAACATGTACTAGCAATCCTATAAAAGTAACAAGGGATAATGTCCCCCAATTAATATTAGCTAATTACAACCCACACGAAGAGTCAGCTTGCTCCAATTTGCCCCCGCAAATCTCCAAACAATCCGCGAATACCTCTCTAATTGGTCTACCTAGTTTTCCTTGGGCTTAGTTCTCGTATGCAGTGACCTTAATTTAAATGCAATAGTACTGATGCAAGATTGCATTTCGATTTCTTATTATATGAAGTAACCGTTTTCGATTTTAAATGAGATGTGAACTGTGTCACTTTATGATTTTCACTTTTATTGAGATGAATATATTTTGAAAAGTATCGTTGTTCTGTGCGTATCGCAGCGTCTCAGCCAATGAAGCGCTTGACTGCAGTCCGGAGATCCAAGGATCAAATCGAAGCCTAAATCTCTTAATCTTTAAATTCATATTTGGATAATTTAAAATGACTGTTACTTCATTCGTGCTTAACACGACACGTCAAGCCGTAATCCGATATTCATGTCAGAAATCTAAATCGTAGCTGGCTTAAAAACTGACACCAGAGGGCGTTACCATCACACGAGTACTAATATATATATAAGCGTAGTAGTTATTGAAATCATTCATATTGTCGACCTTGCATGGTGCTTCTAAAGTTCATGCGAAAACGATTCATATGAAATGACATTTCATTAATTTATATATTTTTATAATTTATATAAATGTTAATTTACAATCATATTGTATAATTTATTAATAAATAACTTTACAACAAAAGACCTTTATAGGTCTTTTGTTGTACCTAAAGTTATTTCTCCTTTTCATTTAAGAGTTTCCTCTTGTCGGTGCAACTAATTCATGCATTTTCTTCCAGCCAGCTCTATCCCAGGCCATATCCTTGATCTCCCTATACGACATGACGCCTAGTGTTTCTTTTATCTGTCCCATGTAGTTATTCCTCGGTCTTCCTCTATTTTTATGAATTATTATGATTTATGATTTATAATTATTTATGAATTGTAAATAATTTTTCTAAACAAATGACAAGTAAACTAATGAACGAAAAAAAATTACATAATCCCTTCTAATTCAAGGTTGGCAACACGCACGTGATACCCCAGCTGTTACAGGCGTTCATAGACTACAGTGGCCGTTTACCATCAGACGGGCTGTATGCTTGTTTATCATCTTAATGTTAAAAAAAACTTCATGATCATATCAGTATTTTAACTATCCACTGCTGATGATAGCATTCTCCTTGTGGGAATTAAATTAATGTAGATCATAAATGAATGAATGAAACCTCTTAATTGTTCCTTCAAAGAATGATTCAGATTATAAAGATTAACAAACAACACAAATAAAATTAATAATTAATTACATAAACT